GCCTATAAACAGGTATTACAGGTATCAGAATGTAACTTTGTGATAGGTGATGGAGCCTATAAACAGGTATTACAGGTAACAGAACGTAACATTGTGATAGGTGATGGAGCCTATAAACAGGTATTACAGGTATCAGAATGTAACTTTGTGATAGGTGATGGAGCCTATAAACAGGTATTACAGGTATCAGAATGTAACTTTTGTGATAGGTGATGGGGCCTATAAACAGGTATTACAGGTATCAGAATGTAACATTGTGATAGGTGATGGGGCCTATAAACAGGTATTACAGGTATCAGAATGTAACTTTGTGATAGGTAAACCACACCCAGAAAAGTATCTGCACATTGCAAAGACTTTTACCTCATAAAGACATACTCTAAACACCATACATACATGTTTTGTATCAGTGTATGCAAATAAGGGACCTATCTAAACAATTTTACAAGTTCTGTCCATATAGGGAACCTATCTTAACAATGTTACTGTTTTCGCCCAGTAGGGGACCTATCTAAACAATGTTACTGGTTCTGTCCTTAAATGAGACCTATCTAAATAATGTAACTGTTTCTGTCCCAGTAGGGGACCTATATAAACAATGTTACTGTTTCTGTCCCAGTAGGGGACCTATCTTAACAATTTTACTAGTTCTGTCCATATAGGGAACCTATCTTAACAATGTTACTGTTTTCGCCCAGTAGGGGACCTATCTAAACAATGTAACTGTTTCTATCCCAGTAGGGGACCTATCTAAACAATGTTACTGGTTCTGTCCTTAAATGAGACCTATCTAAATAATGTAACTGTTTCTGTCCCAGTAGGGAACCTATATAAACAATGTTACTGTTTCTGTCCCAGTAGGGGTCCTATCTAAACAATGTTACTGGTTCTGTTCCAGTAGGGAACCTATCTAAACAATGTTACTGTTTCTGTCCCAGTAGGGGACCTATCTAGACAATGTTACTGGTTCTGTTCCAGTAGGGAACCTATCTAAACAATGTTACTGTTTCTGTCCCAGTAGGGGACCTATATAAACAATGTTACTGGTTCTGTCCCAGTAGGGACTCTATATAAACAATGTTACTGTTTCTGTCCCAGTAGGGGACCTATCTAAACAATGTTACTGGTTCTGTTCCAGTAGGGAACCTATCTAAACAATGTTACTGTTTCTGTCCCAGTAGGGGACCTATCTTAACAATTTTACTAGTTCTGTCCATAAAGGGAACCTATCTTAACAATGTTACTGTTTTCGCCCAGTAGGGGACCTATCTAAACAATGTTACTGTTTCAGTCCCAGTAGGGGAACTATCTAAACAATGTTACTAGTTCTGTCCCAGTAGGGGACCTATCTCAACAATTTTACTAGTTCTGTCCATAAAGGGGACCTATCTTAACAATGTTACTGGTTCTGTTCCAGTAGGGAACCTATCTAAACAATGTTACTGTGTCTGTTCATATAAGGAACCTATCTAAACAATGTTACTGTTTCTGTCCATATAAGGAACCTATCTAAACAATGTTACTGTTTTGGCCCCGTAGGGAACCTATCTAAACAACGTTACTGTTTCTGTCCCAGTAGGGGAACTATCTAAACAATGTTACTGGTTCTGTCTTTATATTAGACCTATATAAACAATGTCACAGTTTATGTTCATATAAGGAACCTATCTAAACAATGTTACTGTGCCTGTTCATATAAGGAACCTATCTAAACAATGTTATTGTTTCTGTCCAAGTAGGGGACCTATCTAAACAATGTAACTGTTTCTGTCCCAGTAGGGGACCCATCTAAACAAATGCTACTATTTCTGTCCCAGTATGGGCCCTATCTAAACAATGTTACTGTTTCTGGCCCAGTAGGGGACCTATCTAAACATTGTTACTGGTTCTGTCCCAGTAGGGACTCTATATAAACAATGTTACTGTTTCTGTCCCAGTATGGGACCTATCTAAATAATGTTACTGGTTCTGTCCCAGTAGAGGACCTATCTAAACAATGTTACTGTCCCTGTCCCAGTAGGGGACCTATCTAAATAATGTTACTGTTTCTGTCCCAGTAGGGAACCTATCTAAACAACGTTACTGTTTCTGTCCCAGTAGGTGCCCTATCTAAACAATGTTACTGTTTCTGTCCTCATATGAGACCTATCTAAACAATATTACTGTTTTGGCCCAGTAGGGAACCTATCTAAACAACGTTACTGTTTCTGTCCCAGTAGGTGCCCTATCTAAACAATGTTACTGTTTCTGTCCTCATATGAGACCTATCTAAACAATATTACTGTTTTGGCTCAGTAGGGAACCTATCTAAACAATGTTATTGTTTCTGTCCAAGTAGGGGACCTATCTAAACAATGTTGCTGTTTCTGTCCCAGTAGGGGAACTATCTAAACAATGTTACTGGTTCTGTTCCAGTAGGGAACCTATCTAAACAATGTTACTGTTTCTGTCCTCATATGAGACCTATCTAAACAATGTTACTGTTTCTGTCCCAGTATGGGCCCTATCTAAACAATGTTACTGTTTCTGTCCCAGTATGGGCCCTATCTAAACAATGTTACTGTTTCTGTCCATATAAGGAACCTATCTAAGCAATGTTACTGTTTCTGTTCATATAAGGAACCTATCTAAACAGTGTTACTGGTTCTGTCCTTATATGAGACCTATGTAAACAATGTTACTGGTTCTGTCCATATAAGGAACCTATCTAAACAATGTTACTATTTCTGTCCCAGTAGGGGACCTATCTTAACCATTTTACTAGTTCTGTCCATAAAGGGAACCTATCTTAACAATGTTACTGTTTTCGCCCAGTAGAGGACCTATCTAAACAATGTTACTGTTTATGTCCCAGTAGGGGACCTATCTAAATAATGTTACTGTTTCTGTCCCAGTAGGGGAACTATCTAAACAATGTTACTGGTTCTGTCTTTATATTAGACCTATATAAACAATGTCACTGTTTCTGTTCATATAAGGAACCTATCTTTGTATCAGTGTATGCAAATAAGTGACCTATCTAAACAATTTTACAAGTTCTGTCCATATAGGGAACCTATCTTAACAATGTTACTGTTTTCGCCCAGTAGGCGACCTATCTAAACAATGTAACTGTTTTCGCCCCGTAGGGGACCAATCTAAACAATGTTTCTGTTTCGCCCAGTAGGGGACCTATCTAAACATTGTTACTGGTTCTGTCCCAGTAGGGACTCTATATAAACAATGTTACTGTTTCTGTCCCAGTATGGGCCCTATCTAAACAATGTTACTGTTTCTGGCCCAGTAGGGGACCTATCTAAACATTGTTACTGGTTCTGTCCCAGTAGGGACTCTATATAAACAATGTTACTGTTTCTGTCCCAGTATGGGCCCTATCTAAACAATGTTACTGTTTCTGTCCCAGTATGGGCCCTATCTAAACAATGTTACTGTTTCTGTCCTCATATGAGACCTATCTAAACAATATTACTGTTTTGGCTCAGTAGGGAACCTATCTAAACAACATTACTGTTTTGGCTCAGTAGGGAACCTATCTAAACAACATTACTGTTTTGGCTCAGTAGGGAACCTATCTAAACAACATTACTGTTTTGGCTCAGTAGGGGACCTATCTAAACAATGTTACTTCTGTCCATAAAGGGAACCTATCTTAACAATGTTACTGTTTTCGCCCAGTAGAGGACCTATCTAAACAATGTTACTGTTTCAGTCCCAGTAGGGGAACTATCTAAACAATGTTACTGGTTCTGTCCCAGTAGAGGACCTATCTAAACAATGTTACTGTCCCTGTCCCAGTAGGGGACCTATCTAAACAATGTTACTGTCCCTGTCCCAGTAGGGGACCTATCTAAATAATGTTACTGGATCTGTCCCAGTAGGGGACCTATCTAAACAAATCCTACTATTTCTGTCCCAGTATGGGACCTATCTAAACAATGCTACTGTTTCTGTCCCAGTAGGGTACCTATCTAAACAATGTTACTGTTTTGGCCCCGTAGGGAACCTATCTAAACAACGTTACTGTTTCTGTCCCAGTAGGGGACCTATCTAAACAAATGCTACTATTTCTGTCCCAGTATGGGACCTATCTAAACAATGTTACTGTTTCTGTCCCAGTATGGGACCTGTCTAAACAATGTTACTGTTTCTGTCCCAGTATGGGACCTGTCTAAACAATATTACTGTTTCTGTCCCAGTAGGGGACCTATCTAAACAAATACTACTATTTCTGTCCCTATAGTCATTCAGATCAGAAGGCAACAGACCAGTAAGTACGCAAAGGATTGGCAGTGTGTCTCACCACTGTATGTGTCTATGATGTCTATCGTGTTCCCACCTATATGTTTATCTGTAAACTTGTTTATAAGTCAGCCAGGAATTATCAATTATTGACATCTCTTTTTGTGTCATAATTATGAATATTTGATACCTTTATTTTGTAAGTTTGTGATGTAAATTGCTGTGTAGTAAACATGACTGTGAGTGTGTTTCTTGTGATTCAGCACTGTTTGAGTGTTATACCACAGCTGACAGACTGTGATTGGTTATTCCTTACTTCACGTATTAGACACAATCACAAAATAAGAGACGCCATGCCAGTCACAAATATTGCAACAGTACTAACCAAGAATCGTGGTCCCTGGACCATGAAACATCATGAATGGTTTTAAATTACTTCAAAATCAAGTATTTTTTAAATTAGCTCTAATTTCAGTGAAGATAAACATTGTGCAAGTAAAATAAAATGTTTTGATATGACCTGAAACACTAGAAGACATTTGAACTAAAGTATAGATTGTTAATCATACTCCTAGGGCCTGTAATTTTGGCAGAGTTAGATGTTGTCACAGTTGAGGTTTTAAGAAATAATTAACTTCATATTGTGTGGAATAGTTATGAATGATCTATATAAATGTGCAAGTGTACATGTCTAGATCCCAAATTTACTGAGCTATGCCCTTTTTATACTTGATACACATAGTACTTACATTGAGGGGGTATGAATTAATGAACAAATGGAGTTACCTCCCCCTTTTTATGGAGCTATGTCCCTTTGTTGAAAAACATTGTTTGCACTTCTCCTGAAGAACTGAAATTCACATGTCTAAAATGATTGTTTTTTTTGTTCAGTATGTAGTGCCTTTCCTAAGTTATGAGCAGGTAAAGAACAATGTAACATATAATTATATATACAGGTAGATAGTGTATTGTCTTAGTCCAGGTAAATAATATATATAAACAGGGAGATATTGTAAATGTATTAGACCAGGTAAACACCAAAGTATAACAATATATATACAGATTCAAGTAGATAGTGGTTTATGTCTTAGATTGCATGAATGTAAGCTTTTTATAGTCATTTTAGGTATTTGAGAATATATTTTATAAAAACATTTTAATTATTTTGTTTGATGCATGACATATCCATTTAAAAGAAAACTGTATGATGAATCATTCACTGATTTCAAACATCACTCCCTCTGAAATACGGAAATGTATATTTTTTGCATCCCAAGGTTTTACCATGGAGCAAGTCAGTGTAACCTTGAATCAAGTTAGGTTTTATATTGGTCCTTACACGAATGTACCAGTGAATTTACAAACTGGTGCAGTGTCTGTATATCATCAACTTTTTACTGTAAGCAATTACTCCTATAGAACTATAAGGCCTAAACTTATGATAGCTTGCATTCTGAGGTCGTAAGGGCCCATAATGCTCAAAAACTAACACCGTTATTTACAGAACTGTGAGTCACATAGCTGTAATATAGCTGATTCAGCTGTAATATATAGCTGGTTCAGCTGTAATATAGCTGATACAGCTAATGTAATATGTAGTAATGAATCAAATACATTCATTTTAAATGTATTTGACCTACTTGTTAAAGTTTTCTGTCACAAGGGAGCAGTAACGACCCAAGGGCCTCTTGCTTTATTATGGAATGAAAAAGGCTTGCATGAGTCTATGAATGCATATTGCTATGTGATTGAGCCAATAAATCTTTATATAGTGTATAATTATGTAGACTAGTAGTACTATCTAACCTAGCCAGAAACATATCAATTGGACAGAAAGGTATGTGAATCCTTATATAACTTTCATTTTTGTGTGTACTTTTTATGTTATATGCAAAGGCAGCCTTAGGGAGTTTTATCAGTCATTAATATACAGATTTGTTTAAAGGCAATATTTGTTTTCAGGAATTATCCGATTTGAATGAAACTTGCCAGATATACTTATTACCCTCATTGTCATCTATTGATACCGCATAGTACTGTATTGTGATGTATTTGGTAATTCTATTGTTTGTAATGATAACAGAGATGTGATTATAATTTTCGAGTAATCTTATTTTATGTCATGCTCTGCAATATTCTCCTTTGCATCTCAGGTCCAGATTCTGTCGACCTTCAAGGGCAAAATATACCGTAAAGCCATATGTTTAATGTTTATGACAGTACTGATATTTGTTTATAAGTGTTACGATGGATCAATATTTGTTGTGTTGTCTCTCCCAGAAACAACATGAAGGTGAGGAAGATGAAGATGACTTTGGTGAGGAAGATGAACCTTTCCATCACCACAATGTAATTGCCAAAAACACCACATTGGGCCTTCCCCCTATTGTAAGTGACATATATCTAATAAACGTTGGCTAAACACGTACCTGTATATAATATGTGCTGTGTATCTGTTACAGTATCTGTTGGTTTCTTCTGTGATAATTTGATGTCTGCTGCTCCGTTACAAGTCAATTCTAGACTGTATAGCACAGGCTGGGGAGAAACATAATGATCCTCGGGGTAATATGTCACCTCAACATCTACAGTAGATTGATCCACACCGGGTCAATTGATCTCACTTTGACCGACTACCACAGTCCTTCACTTTTACTGATACTAAATTTATTTGAGGATCAGTCGTCTTTTATAATAACATCTGGGCTCAAATATTTCAGGTATGCTTTGAAGTCCAGAATATTGGAACTTTTTACAGTAAAAACAAATTAAGAAAATAAAATAATTTTCTGTTTCTTGAGACAATAACCCATCCTTAAAAGTTACATAATGTGTTTATATTAAATATTTCTGTTTATAATTATACAACTGTAATTGATTTTAGAAGTTTGTATGAACATTCAGTATTAACAAACCAACTGTCAGCTGTTGTTATAATGTACACATATCCATAACATGTTTGTCTCCATGCATGTCATTTAATTATGATTAATTTGAGTATGATATTATCAGTATGTATTATCATCTCATTTTACAGAGGTAATGCTTATCATTCTAATATACATATTCATCCTACTGGCAGTCTGTTATCTTTATGTTGGTAATATGTATTCTGGATACTCTGTACTCTTATATAGTTTAGGGGCTGTACACATGTATAGTCTGGAGTCTGTACTCTTGTATAGTTTAGGAGCTGTACACATGTATAGTCTGAAGGCTGTACTCTTGTATAGTTTAGGGGCTGTACACATGTATAGCCTGGAGGCTGTACTCTTATATAGTTTAGGGCATGTACACATGTAAAGTCTGGAGGCTGTACTCTTATATAGTTTAGGGCATGTACACATGTAAAGTCTGGAGGCTGTACTCTTATATAGTTTAGGGCATGTACACATGTAAAGTCTGGAGGCTGTACTCTTATATAGTTTAGGGCATGTACACATGTAAAATCTGGAGTCTGTACTCTTATATAGTTTAGGGGCTGTACACATGTAAAGTCTGGAGTCTGTCCCCTTGTATAGTTTAGGGGCTGTACACATGTATAGTCTGGAGTCTGTGCTCTTATATAGTTTAGGGGCTGTACACATGTATAGTCTGGAGGCTGTACTCTTATATAGTTTAGGGCATGTACACATGTATAGTCTGGAGTCTGTACTCTTGTATAGTTTAGGGGCTGTACACATGTATAGTCTGGAGTCTGTCCCCTTGTATAGTTTAGGGGCTGTACACATGTATAGTCCGGAGTCTGTACTCTTGTATAGTTTAGGGGCTGTACACATGTAAAGTCTGGAGGCTGTAATCTTATATAGTTTAGGGGCTGTACACATGTAAAGTCTGGAGTCTGTACTCTTGTATAGTTTAGGGGCTGTACAAATGTATAGTCTGGAGGCTGTACTCTTGTATAGTTTAGGTTCTGTATTTAGGGGCTGTACACATGTATAGTCTGGCGGCTGTACTCTTTTATAGGTTAGGGGCTGTACACATGTATAGTCTGGAGTCTGTACCCTTGTATAGTTTAGGTTCTGTACACATGTATAGTGTGGAGGCTGTACTCTTGTATAGTTTAGGGGCTGTACCCATGTATAGTCTGGAGTCTGTACTCTTGTATAGTTTAGGGGCTGTACACATGTATAGTCCGGAGTCTGTACTCTTATAAAGTTTAGGGGCGGTAGTCCTGTACACATGTATAGTCTGGATGTTATAATAACCCATGTGAGTCAAGAGGCTACTCATGCGTTTTTTGGAGTCTGTTCATAATCGTTATCTTGGCTTTTGGTAAAATTGCTATATGTTTATATATACAATGTACATAAATCATTTTATGGCTCATCAATCACTTCAATTTCCATTGTACTGAATCCCCTTGATTCACTGCCAGCCTGTTCATGTGCAATTGCAGAATGCGGAACTCATTTTATGTGATTGATTGTAGAATTGACACTTTGATAGCTTTTGAATTTGTTATAGCCAAGGTAAGTATAATATGATAAAACTAATAACTAGGCTGTGGACAGTACAAGAGGTGATATTCTCCTCAGTGAAATTTCACTTGGTGCAATGTAATGAGATCAAATATTGGGTTATACATTTTGGTATTATTCAATTTCAGGAAAATGGAAATTCAAATAGCAAGCAGGTATATGATTTGATACTGCAGCCATACCAGTTAGTGTTGTAATCTCCTTGTGCACCCGTCAATGCTGCCACCTGCATTCTCAATTTTTATTTTTATTTTTTTAGCATTTTAAAACTGCATTTTGCACTTTGTAAAACATAATGGTATTTTCAAACTTTTTACAGCAAAGAATTGTTGATGTGGTTGATGAAAAAGGGAAGCAAATTAAATGTTCAAAATTAGAAACAGTTAGAACTTTAAAAAAAAAATATAAATAGATTTTCTCTGATTAGACTGACACAAATTTCACTTTTGAGTTGGTTTTTTTAAATTTTGATGAGGAACTTTCATGAATAACATCTATCAAAACCATCAACAATTTTTGCAATTTCAAAGCTTGAATGATCATACAGTGTTTCCTTTGTCATCACAACTGGCATTCATTACACCATGCATACTATTAAACAGACATTCATTATAACAAATGCTTCTGAATTAAAAGCTTATTGGAATGTTCATGGAAGGAGATTAATATGCATACAGCTTGTTAGATATGGTACATGTTATAATGGGGTTAGTGCTGGTTTGTAGTCATGCACATTTTTAAATCATCATCTCTAGCTTCATCCAAGTCAACTCAGACTACATTCACAGTTAACGGGACTAGGAACAAGACTGGATTTAACAAAATTCAACAAAACTCTCTTAACAATATTTTTTTCTTAAGTAATTGGTAAATTGAAAAAACATTGGTATTTTCATGTCTAATCTATTGTAGATTGTATCACATAAGGGTGTTCATACAGTACATTTGTAGTGTACATTGTTAGGATGTTATGTACAGTACATTTGTAGTGTACAGTGTTAGGATGTTATGTACAGTACATTTGTAGTGTACAGTGTTAGGATGTTATGTACAGTACATCTGTAGTGTACAGTATTAGGATGTTATGTACAGTACATCTGTAGTGTACAGTGTTAGGATGTTATGTACAGTACATTTGTAGTGTACAGTGTTAGGAAGTTATGTACAGTACATTTGTAGTGTGCTGCGCTATGTTATGCAACATAGTACTGTTTTTTTGTATAGTACATGTATTAAGAATTGTTATGAACAGAGATTTATACTGTACAGTGTCAGGAATGTTATGTACAGTAGCAGATTTGTAGTGTACAGTATTGTCCTACCCTAGATTGTACCACACTAGGAGTATATCATGTATGTACAATACATTAATTTGTAGTGTACAGTATTTTCCTACCCTAGATTGTACCACATTAGGAGTATATCATGTATGTACAATACATTAATTTGTAGAGTACAGTATTGTCCTACCCTAGATTGTACCACATTAGGAATACATCATGTATGTACAATACATTAATTTGCAGTGTACAGTATTGTCCTACCCTAGATTGTACCACATTGAGAGTACATCAGGTATGTACAATACATTAATTTGCAGTGTACAGTATTGTCCTACCCTAGATTTTACCACATTAGGAGTACATCATGTATGTACAATACATTACTTTGTAGTGTACAGTATTGTCCTACCCTAGATTGTACCACATTAGGGGTACATCATGTATGTACCATATATTAATTTGTAGTGTACAGTATTTTCCTACCCTAGATTGTACCACATTGAGAGTACATCAGGTATGTACAATACATTAATTTGCAGTGTACAGTATTGTCCTACCCTAGATTGTACCACATTGAGAGAACATCATGTATGTACAATACATTAATTTGTAGTGTACAGTATTTTCCTACCCTAGATTGTACCACATTGAGAGTACATCAGGTATGTACAATACATTAATTTGCAGTGTACAGTATTCTCCTACCCTAGATTGTACCACATAAGGAGTACATCATGTATGTACAATACATTACTTTGTAGTGTACAGTATTGTCCTACCCTAGATTGTACCACATTGAGAGTACATCAGGTATGTACAATACATTAATTTGCAGTGTACAGTATTGTCCTACCCTAGATTGTACCACATTAGGAATACATCATGTATGTACAATACCTTAATTTGTAGTGTACAGTATTGTCCTACCTAATCTATTGTAGATTGTATCACATAAGGGTGTTCATACAGTACATTTGTAGTGTACATTGTTAGGATGTTATGTACAGTACATTTGTAGTGTACAGTGTTAGGATGTTATGTACAGTACATCTGTAGTGTACAGTATTAGGATGTTATGTACAGTACATCTGTAGTGTACAGTGTTAGGATGTTATGTACAGTACATTTGTAGTGTACAGTGTTAGGATGTTATGTACAGTAAATTTGTAGTGTACAGTGTTAGGAAGTTATGTACAGTACATTTGTAGTGTACTGCGCTATGTTATGCAACATAGTACTGTTTTTTTGTATAGTACATGTATTAAGAATTGTTATGAACAGAGGTTTATACTGTACAGTGTCAGGAATGTTATGCACAGTAGCAGATTTGTAGTGTACAGTATTGTCCTACCCTAGATTGTACCACATTGAGAGTACATCAGGTATGTACAATACATTAATTTGCAGTGTACAGTATTGTCCTACCCTAGATTTTACCACATTAGGAGTACATCATGTATGTACAATACATTACTTTGTAGTGTACAGTATTGTCCTACCCTAGATTGTACCACACTAGGAGTATATCATGTATGTACAATACATTAATTTGTAGTGTACAGTATTATCCTACCCTAGATTGTACCACATTAGGAGTATATCATGTATGTACAATACATTAATTTGTAGTGTACAGTATTATCCTACCCTAGATTGTACCACATTGAGAGTACATCAGGTATGTACAATACATTAATTTGCAGTGTACAGTATTGTCCTACCCTAGATTGTACCACATTAGGAGTAAATCATGTATGTACAATACATTAATTTGTAGAGTACAGTATTGTCCTACCCTAGATTGTACTACATAAGGAGAACATCATGTATGTACAATACATTAATTTGTAGTGTACAGTATTTTTCTACCCTAGATTGTACCACATTGAGAGTACATCATGTATGTACAATACATTAATTTGCAGTGTACAGTGCTAGGATGTACTGTATACAGTACAGTTGTAATCTAAGACTTTTTAGTGTTAACCCTACCACATCCTACAATCCCAGTTTTGCCACAGTGAACTGCTCAAGGTGCCATGAACTGGTACAGTTTTATAAAAAATATTGTCTCTTCCTTAAGGATGTACTCTTCTGAGGTTTTAATCACATTCAAGTCTCGTTTTGATCTGGTGTAACGGGTTTTTGTAATATTTAACAAATTATGATCAAGTTAATTAGCAAATATGCATCTGAAAAATATGTCAAAAAACTAGATGCCTGTTGTTTGTAGAACATTTTTTACAAGAATTTAAAAAAATTACCAATTCAGCGACCATTTTGAAAATGTGTATTAATGTGTATTTCTTGCGATTCAAAAAAGGCAAAAAATTCACCTTTTTTGACACTAGATTGATCACTTAAATTGTCATTGTGTCACCGTCTTTAATTGTAGCAGGTTCAATTTTGCTGTACAACTTTATAATGTTTAATATGATAAAAATAATATGCAACAAACTGGAAAACTATACATTATTGATATTTTTTTTTACATATCTAGTGTATTTGAAGCACTTTTGAATTTTGACCCCGAAAAAGGTAAAAAAATAACACAAATAATAATGGGACAAAAAAAGAAGCACACGGACCCCCCATTTTTATGGATGTTTTAGAAAGAGAAACACATTTTCTCTTTATTCATCATATATTAAAAAAAGTTTAATAGCAGAACTTTTTGTATCAAGCGTTTAATCTGCAAAAAATGTAAAAAAATGAGGGGGTATGGGGTAACTAAAATCGGCTTTCTGAGTTAAAAGAATAAGATTTAGAAATTTTACTTCCATAATTTGAAAGAAAATATTTTCATCAATTCTACAAACATTCATACATATCTGATAACACACTTGAAAGAAATTGTATGAATTTGTTCTGCAAATGGTCAAAACCCCAAAAGTCACCTAAACTCATGTTGTGTTAAATTGGTACACACAGACATATAGTTTTTTTGGCATTTCCTACTATGCCATTAACTCCTTTTTCCAAAAATTCATATAAGAAAAAAAAGTTAAATACAGGAATTTTTTGACTTCTCAGAGGTGTGCATCCTAAACCCTATAACAAGTCATTTACTAAGGCGCACCTTATGAACGATCAATTACTAGATAGTTAGTACAGACTGGTGTCAGTAAATATGTCAGAGTTATTGCCCTTAGCCAATTTTAATTAGGATTTTCTATTAAAACAATATAATTTTAGTAGTATCAGACAGGTGTAACATGTTTTTAATGTCACGATGTAGGTAAGAGACATGTTTGACATCTTTTTAATGTCATGATGTAGGTAAGAGACATGTTTGACATCTTTTTAATGTCATGATGTAGGTAAGAGACATGTTTGACATCTTTTTAATGTCATGATGTAGGTAAGAGACATGTTTGACATCTTTTTAATGTCATGATGTAGGTAAGAGACATGTTTGACATCTTTTTAATGTCATGATGTAGGTTAGAGACATGTTTGACATCTTTTTAATGTCATGATGTAGGTTAGAGACAGGTGTGACATCTTTTTAATGTCATGATGTAGGTTATAGAGACAGGTGTAACATCTTTATAATGTCATGATGGGTGTAAGAGACATGTTTGACATCTTTTTAATGTCATGATGTAGGTAAGAGACATGTTGGACATCTTATTAATGTCATGATGTAGATTAGAGACAGGTGTGACATCTTTTTAATGTCATGATGTAGGTTATAGAGACAGGTGTAACATCTTTTTAATGTCATGATGTAGATTAGAGACAGATGTGACATCTTTTTAATGTCATGATGTAGGTTCGAGACAGGTGTAACATCCAGGTGATATCATGTGTAGCTTTAAGGTCTAGTACTGTACGTATCAGATTTTCAAATGATCTACCTGAACATGAATCGCTTTGTATTTATCTCTACCATAATTATTGAGTCAATGCCAGATCTTTAATCCAAAATAAGTATTGATTGAAAAATTCACAAATTGCTTGCTATTTTTGTAAATGCATGTGCATGAATGATTATGTTATATTTGATAAGAAGATGATGGTGGTGTATATTGATATATATTGCTTAGACACTAATTCCTTATCAATCTTCCTGCAGCATCTGTCTATTGATGTCTATACTGCTTATATAGCTTAGAAGGTAAATACCTGTATAAAGGCAATACTATGTTCTTCATCTCAAGCACTTATAACTTTAACACAGGCTTTTAGATGTTTAAAGCATTTCAGAAGTTGTTATTCTCTTGTATAGTATAGGTTCCATAAGTTCTTAACATTATACATAATGTGGTTAAAACATTGCATTCCAAAATTTCACCAGTTCTGATACACTGTGTACCAGTATATTGAATGATTTCACAGGCACTGTACAGTGGAAAGCTGTTATATACAGTTACACAGAGGATTTCTCTTCCCAAGTCACAATGACTTTTTGTCACAGGTTTCTATTGTACACTGACATCAAATATTCTCTTTCATTATTTATTGATAAATATAAATAGAAAATGATTTTTAATCCTCATGATTTTTATTTGCTGAATTGATTTTTTTTTAATTTTGCACTTTTGAAACCTTTACCTGTAGAATCTTTGCTATTTATGCTTGACTTCATAGATCTGCTGCAGACACAATACGTATACACACCAGGCTTACCATCAGAATATTATTAGCTCACCTGGTCCGAAGGACCAAGGTGAGCTTATGCCATACTGTTGCGTCCGTCCGTACGTACGTCAACAATTTCTTTAAACGACTTCTTCTTCTTAACCACTGATTGGAATTTAACTAAATTTTACTGGAAGCATCCCTAGGTGGTGGGGATTCAAAATTGTACAAATGATGGGGCTGACCCCCCAGGGGGATGAGGGGCGGGGCCAAAAGGGGTCAATTTGGCTATATTGCTTTAAGCGACTTCTTCTTTGGAACTAAAAAGTGGATATCAACCATATTTGACTGGAAGCATCCCTAGGTAGTGGGGATTCAAAATTGTACAAATGATGGGGCTGACCCCCCAGGGGG